TACATTTCCACTCTATGAGAGAGTCTGGGCTTTTGGCTCCACCCTGTGGTCACCACAGAAATCCACAGATAAACCTGATTCAGTTAGCGTTTCACAATGTGTCCAAATGCAGTATGCAACCTATATTTGTAATCCCATAAATGTTAAGCACCCGCAAATGTATCCTACAGAATGCCGATGAAAATCAATGTCAGCTTTATGGCATAAGCCAGTGGTTCCCAACTTTGGTTCTTGGACTAATATTCCTAGAATCCTTCACCACCCGGTGTGCTGGCCAGGTTTTTGGGAGTTGCAATCCAAGAACACCTGGGTTACCCAAGGTTGGAAACCACTGCCCTAAGCCACTGGAAAGTTGTTTCTGTTTCCTGGAATTGAAGTCATCATCCCAACTTAGGCTGTTGTGAAAAGATTTGTGAGTTATGTATAGAACACTCTGCAACTGCCATTTATGCATCTGTAGGAGTTTATGAGTTTTTAAAATTGCATTTATTTATTTATTTTATTTATTTATTTATTCATTTATTCATTTATTCATTTATTCATTTATTCATTTATTCATTTATTTAGCCATTATTGCCATCTAAGCCACAAAGAGATAGGAAAGGCCAAATGCTTATGACCAGTACTTTATTGATAATCACAAAGTTTATGACAGTATATTGGAATATCTTGATGCCAAGGCTTTCATCCTTCTCCATTCCACCCAATATAGGAAAGTGCAGTCATAAAGCTATTGTGCCACAAGTCTGAAATGGGACTACAGATAAAGGTCAGCATGCTTGTCACAGGGAAATTGATCAAACAAAGGTCAATGAAAGTAAGGATGAGACAATTCTAAAGAAATTCTGGCAAGCTCATATTGATGTTTAGGTCATGTCCATTTCAGCAGAATTCTCATCCAGGCTATTCCACCCACTCAAGCAAATAGAGGTGGGTGGGCAGTAGTGCTGTATTCTTTTTAAGGGTGATACTTGTGTCAAATGTGATATTTTGGAAATGAAGAGGCTGATTATTCCATTAGATGGCAGCAAAGGATAGCAAATATTCTTGTAGTGCCTCCTCCTCTTCTCCCTCATCTTTGCTTTAGTAGTAATAATCTTAGCAGTAATCTTATAACTGCAGAGCTAGAAGGGACCTTATGGATCATCAAATCCAACCCCTGCCAAGGAGGACAGTGGGGAATCGAACTCCCAGCCTCTGCCTAAACTACTGAACTGACCAGCAGTGAGCTAGAAAAACTGCTGAAGTGTGCCTATATTTTAAAAGTTTGTTGACCATAATAGAATACAGTATTGTCAGTTTAGAATGGAGCACTGATATCAATGATGGGACAGTGAGATAGCAGCTACCTGTTTATATCTACATCAAGCAGGATAAGTGTATTTTAAGCTATGATTTCAAGCAGGATAACAATGTGTTTAGAATTAATGCCATGCAGCCATGTTTATACAAGTATGCAATTAGAAGGAAAGGTAAAGGTAAAGGTTCCCCTTGACATTTTTAGTCCAGTTGTATCCGACTCTAGGGCGTGGTGCTCATCCCGTTTCCAAGCCGTAGAGCCAGCGCTTGTCCGAAGACAGTTTCCATTGTCACATGGCCAGCGTGACTAGGGAATGCTGTTTTACCTTCCCACCTATTTATCTACTCACATTTGCATGCTTTTGGACTGCTAGGTTGGTGAGGAGCTGGGACAAAGTGACGGGAACTCACTCCGCCAGGTGGATTTGATCTTATGACTGCTGGCCTTCTGACCCTGCAGCACAGGTTTCTGCGGTTTAGCCCGCAGCGCCTAACCCCCAAATAGATAAGCCTGAGTTTATTTTGACTTCAAACATGGTATTTACAATTGCCTCAGTTAACAGTCAGAAGAAGACAACAGCAAGATGAAGGAATAGTTTGTTTTTTGTTTGTTGGAGGGAAAGGGTGGTGTAGTTATCTATAGCTTTACAGCTAATCCTTGGTGCGTTATCAATAGCATGGTAACTGCTTGTGCCTATGGGTCTTGAAAATAAGATCTCTTTTCAACACAAATGTGGCTGGGATAGTTACCAGGAATTTGGAGGGTTTGGAGGGAAGAGAGGGGGATTGTGGCTTTCAGAATTCCACATGCTGGCTGGAGGATTCAAATGAGTGCCATCCAGAACAGTACGTTTTCTGAGCTCTGTTAGCTTTCTGAACCAGATTATAACTTCATTTGGGAAATGGTGCCAGGTTTGTAAATACAACTAAGCATTCTGGGCTAGTGAAATGTGTACTCCAAATCTGAATCAAATAATCATACACCACTTGTAAGATCAGGTTGTTCTTTTCAATGGATGCGCTCTATGGGGCATCCATAAACATACTGGGTTATCACGCCAGGACAGAAGCCATTCCATCTGGAAAACAGTTCAGGAGGAGACCATTGCTTCCTTATCTCCAAAGTCTAAAGCCCAGGTGGCAGCTGCCAGTATGAGCAGGATCCAATGAGCCCTCATCTCCAAAGCACAGAGATCAAGCTGCAAGCTTCCTGACACACAGCGTAATGAGATGGACCTGAGAATCTGGATGATATGGAGCACTACACTCTTATATAAGCAACAAGCACTAATGATTCCAGGATGAAAATTTTATCTACAGATGATTGGCCAGGATTACGATTAACCAGGATATGAGGCTCTGGGACTGGCTGTTGTCTAAAAACCAGGCACCTGAATGAAGGTAACAAGTCATTTCGGTGTGCCCCCAGCTTGATTTTATATCCAACCTTGTGTTCCTCTTTACCAGTATCTCCATTTTCAGCAGACTCTCTTACAAGGAATGAAGAAAAAAAATCTCTATTAATTTAGGCTGTCAAGAAATCACATGCCAAGAAATCACAATGAAAAAGATTCCATGCCAAGAAAAAGTGAACTCACCATGGAAAAAGAAATAGAGGGCCAACTCCCATTCTTAGATGTGATGGTCCTACGCAAAACTGACCTCCGACTGGGACACAAGGTCTACAGAAAACCCACCCACATAGACTGGTACCTACACAAAAACTCCAATCACCACCCACAGCAAAAAAGAGGCATAATCAAAACACTGGTAGACCGTGCAAATCGGAACTGTGAAGCTCAGTTTCTCAGCACTGAACT